CCTCTAAACGACCTCTAGACATTGCATTTTGACCACTAACATTCTGAATCTCAAACTGCTTGGTCTAGTGTCGGGTATGAATCCTTTTTTCTCTACCTGGTCTCCCCCTACACTGGTTTCCTCAGCATCTACGCAAACAATCCGCCATTCTTCACCTTTAAACGCCCCTTGATCGTTGCTCTGTAGCATGGACAAAGGATGGTGGCTTGTATCACTTCCTTCCTCTTCCTATTGCTTGGTAGTTCGAGCTTAACCCCAGCTACTTGATGGAGGGCTTCCATCAACCCCCACGAACCTGCCGGGAAAGCCCCCACGAACCTGCCGCTCTTTCCTTATCCAACACCTCTTTACTCTCAGACTGCATCGATAGTTTCCTCATCTGTTTTGCCCTAATGTCATCCATAGTTTGTGTCAACTGCTCCGTCTACTCCTGCTCCACACCCTTTCTCCCTTAACCCAAAAGAACTCCTTAAAGTAATCCAACAACCACTGAACATCTTCTCCTTGGAAATATATAGCTTTTTGGTAACACCTCCCATTCTCATAAATTCTCATCCCTAGCCCTTCCCCAACAATATCAAAGCTTTTTTGCTCAATCACTAGAAATCTCCTATATTTGGACACCATTTTTATTCCCTAGGCGTTGCCGCAAGCGCGAGGTGTCTATTTGCATCCTGCTATTCTAGCTATCCCTCCTCCTTCACAACTTTGCCCTCCTGTACTCAGCTCCTTTTTTTGTTTAGCTCCTCTCTTCGTCTCAACTTTCTATCTCCCCGTGACTCTCTCTCTAGACTCTCTCAAAATCCCATTGCTTACAAGGCTTAAAGTTTGATTAGAGGTAGGGTTTAGACATGAATTGGAGTTAAAGTCAATGCTTGAGGAAATAGCGAATATTGATAGGAAGGAAGAGGATGGGGTCTCGAGTATTGAAGATTTTGCTAAACAAGTGTCCTTAAAGTTTGAGGTAGCCAACAGAATTCAGATGGAAGAAATTTCTTGGAAAAAAAAGGCTAGAGCCCGATGGGTTGAGGAGAGGGATCGCAACACCAAGTTCTTCCACTGTTAGCTAATCATCACAAAAGGAACAATTATGTGGAGTCCTTGGAGATTGACAATTGTGTGATCGAGGTAATAAATAGCTGAGGATGAAGCCCAGAGACTACTTTTGTGGGCTGTACAAGAAAGAGTTTGACTGGGGAACTAAACTTGATGACATTACTTTTAGAGTCCTTGATGAATCTAGTAGGAGGGAACTAGAAAGAGGCTTTTTGAAAGATGCGATCCTTGAAAGTCTTTTGACATGCAAGAGAGATAAGGCACCAGGTCCAGATTGATTTAATATGGGTTTCCTGCGGGAGGTCTAGCATCTTATGAAAGGGGAAGTTGTTTGAGTTTTTCCTCGGGTTACATGATGATGAGACATTTGTAAAATCTCTCAATGCATATTTCCTAATGCTCATTGTTAAGTTTGGAGGGGCATGGTGTATTAAGGATTTTAGAACCATAAGCTTGGTTAGGTGCACTTACAAGTTGATTGTCAAGGTTCTGGTAAGGAGGATTGACTAAAGTCATGGACAAAGTGATTGGAGAGTCTCCGCATGCTTTTGTTGGGGAAAGGCAGATTCTTGATATTACTTTGATTGCCAATGAAGTAATTG